TGCGGGAGCGCGTAAAGACGCAGCACGGTAACTCAACAGATGCGTTACAGAGTAACACACACACACACACACACACACACACACACACACACACACACACACACACACACACACACACACACACACACACACAAAGTGTGTGTGTACAGCTCCAATAGAACCAGACACAAAAAATCTGCAAAGTCAAAACAAACTGAACTCAAACTCCACCTCTAGGATTACTCTCAGCTGGGATTACCTCCTCCACGTGTTTACTCCAGCTCACCTGGGTCACGTTTATGGAGGAGCAGCGTATTTTAATAATACAACAACAACAATAATAATAACAACAAAGGTGGTAATAATAATAGCTATAATAATAATAATAATTATTATTATTATTAAATAATAATAATAATAATAATAATAATTATTATTATTATTATTATTATTATTATTATTATTATTATTATTATTATTATTATTATTATTATAAAGAAAGAAAACAATCTTTTATATTGCCCCTCTCAACATAAAATAATGAGGCGATTCACAATAAAAACAAATTTAAAATAAAAAACTACATTTTAAAAAATCAGTAATAATATTTTTAAGCGTTTGGGTTTAGTCGCGACAATCGCTGCACTCCAGTGCACACCGGGGGCGTCTCAGCCACGAAGCGGCTTCTTCGTTGTGCTGCTCGCTCGACTCGTGAGATCACCTTTGACTTTTGTAATCTGCCATTAAACCAAAAAGAAGGAAATCGCTGTTTGACGTCATTTATGATGACGGGATTAAAGCCATGAAAACAGACCGCTGCACTTCCGGAACAGGAAGTAAACAAGCCGTTAGGTCACTTGTGTTGATGGACTCTACATAGATACGAAGTTGCATCGCTGTAATAGACTTTTATTTTGAATATTACCAGGGATTTTACACTGAAAGTGTGTCATTTCCTGTCTAGCCCTAAGCTAACTGCGGGAATTGTTGCGTTCCAGAAGCGGCGCTCTAAAGGGATTTTTGCCTTTCTTTAAAAACTTCAATTGAAAATCCGTAAAACAACCGAACATGTTCAAATGGGTGAATTGTGAGCTGAACTGCTTGCCATACATAAAAATAGAACCTGAGCCCATCTTCATCGGTGCAGCACGCCGCTTCTAGGACACGCCTAAAAATGTTAGCGTTGCGGCTGGTGTGAACCCCCCCATAGACTCTAATGGATTCTGTTAGGAGTGCCGTGGTGCTTCCAGTGGGCACGTAGGGTTAGACCGGACTGAGCCAGACTCGTGTTTTTGTAAATGAACTGAACTGACAGCAGTGCTGGAGCATAACAATAATTATCAGAGCTTCTACGTCATCAAACAGGCTTTAACAAGAGCGCTGACATCATGTTCCATCAAGCTAACTCACTGGCAGGAGGGAACGATATGCACGGATCAATCCGTTTGTTTGTGGCACAGCTGCCTTCTTTCACCAAACACGTATTTCAGCTGAGTCCTGTCAAAATAAAGTTCATAAACAATGAGATCATGAAGGGATTTCCTGGGGTTGGTCACCGTTGTGACACCTCACCTGTAGCTAACTTTGACCTGTAAATCAAGTCCTGAGGGAAACTGCTCTAATCAGCGACAGGAAGGAAGACCTGGAGCTGGATCAGCAGCAGGAATCTCGCAGTCCTCCACTAATCCAGCACAGAGCTCAGAGAACAGGCCAGGGCCGGCAGCAGCACTCTGGATCCCGGACAAACATGTCTCCTCAGCGGCTGCACGGATCGGGAAGCAGCCAATAGGAAGGCACCTTGAGAGGAGGTGCCACAATGACAACCAATCAGATCGCAGCTCTGACTCGGCCGAGCCAAAAATGAGACAGGTGGAAAAGCCAAAGTAACCGAGAGGGTGCTCGCTGCAGAACCACAAAGGCGGAGCTGCACCATAAGGTGGAGCTGCACCAGAGTCAGTCCCGCCCATTCACGCAAATTCAGCCTAGCCCACTGACTTCCGTTTATGTTTTTCAACTTTAGCGCAAACTAACCTGACCCACATGAATTACGGCTGTTACTAGTTTACAGTCGTTAATGCAATGTTCTATGCTCCAATTAAACAAGATAAATATAACTTTCTACATGGCAAAGCCTGAATATATCTCGAAATGAAAAGGTTTCTTCTAGCGAATATCTGCCCACAGCCGCTCTAACAAAAGTGTGATACAACAGCATGCCAGAATATTAAAGTGGTTCTGGTAGTCCAGTGGCAAGGTTGTTTGGTCTAAATGTTACTATCCTTTCAGCTGATGCTGGTTCGATTCTTGGTGGGATAGGCAACAATCTATTTATCCAACTGAAGCATTTAATTTGTTTATATTTTAGCTGTAATGTTTATTTTCAGCAAATTATGTTCATATATTTATGTCTAAAAGTTCTTTGAATTTGGTCGTTCCTAAACAGCATTTTAGTTGAAACTCTGCTCACAAATGGACTCACACTGGCTAAAAAAACCAAATAAATAAATAAATAAACACATTA